AAAAAAAAAAATGAAGGCCTTAGCGGCTGAGAAAGTACTCCATCATGTTGTTCAATCTCGACACAGAACTCAAAAAGAATATTATAAGAAAACATGTCCTAGTCAGCTGCACTGGCATGAATGGGGCATCAGAAGATCAGGACTGTTATATTCCTACCTGAAGAATGCTACTGAAATCCAGCAACTATCCATGCTCTAATTTTTCATCTTCACTGAATGTGTTTTTCCATATGTTAAACAAGTAAACAACTGTGATTGAGATTTAAACAAGATTCAATCAGAACCAACGTCTACTCCTTTTTTCTTCAGGAATTCCTTGGCTTCAAGAATATCCTACAAAATAAAAACAACAAATGAACATGACGAGATATGATTTTCGTTATGTTTCAAGAAGACCCCATCATCCTAACCAATTTTCCAATTATTTAATCCTTTTATTCACAACCATAAGCCCTTGTTTTCCCAGCACTATCTTGGCTACCAATCGCCCCCTCAGCTGGCAAAATAGTAGGCAATATTTTCTTAAACAAAAAAGTGCAGCTGTACCTGCTGTAAGAAAAGAGCCTCTTGAGGACATGTGGGAAATGTCATTAGACCAATGCCTACCATGAAAAGACCATAGCAACCAAGCGACATAATGAGGTATAGAGGCAACTGCGACGACAATAGCAAGAAACTAAGAATCACTGAAAAATAAGAAACTTTAACCAACTGCCATTGCCAAAGGTAACAAAAGAGATGGTCAATAAGAGCTCACCAGCCAAGTGTAACTCTCTGGAATTGTTGATGTCTGCAACAAGCCTATCCAAATGGCAGCTACTCCAAGCAATAGCGTCAAGATCTTCACGATTTGTTTCATTGGATCTGCAGCAGTGCGTTGCTTTGACGTGAGTACTAGAGGAGACAAAAGTCTTTAATACATATAATAAACTAGGAAACTATTGATCAACAGCCCAACAACTAAAATGTTAAGAAGTCAATCAAATAAACTCTTAATGTACAATCTAAAGCAAACAAGGTCAAAAGCGTAGACGACAAAGCCATCAACGCAGTCATCAGACTCTCGGCGAGAGTGTAATGCAGCATACATGTTATGTGGGATAGCAAGGAAAAAAAAACTTTGCGGCACATGTAAAGCCTATTAAGGATTCAAGGGAACAGAGTGACTGAATGGCCTGACATGTACGCCCCCAAAACATGCATTTCGATGGATGTTCTTCAGATACAACTATTGCCACAAGAGGAAACCGAGCACCGGGTCCCATAAGATTATAGAAAACTTAACTAAATAAATACAGTTGAAGCAGAGTAGAAAGCCTGGATTATCTTTTAGTCCTGGCAGCTATTGAGAAAATTCAGGTATTGGTGGCTCCAACTGAGAGGCATCAGGAACATAACCAATTTACGGCAAATTAAGGTAGAAGGTCTTTCCATATGAGAAACCATCTTAGAAACAAAGATTCGGAGGAATCAAGAAATACACGTCAGTAAAGTGAGAAATTCAGTTAAAATGCCAGTTTCAAAAATTCTCGTAAATAGAAAGAACTTCCTTTGGACATACTTTTGTTTTCCAGAAAGTTTCCAGTGACTCCAACCACTGTGGAGATTTACCATGAAACAATAGTTGATAGTCTAAAATGTACCATGAAACATTAGACTGTAAACTTATTCAATGTGATGACAATTCAAATTTATAGAAGAGAACGTCACACAAATATGGCAACAGAGGGTTCCCACCCTGTCATCCCTTGAACAAATAGATCGCTAATTGAAATTTCTAACCTTCAGCTATCAAAATAACAGCACTTGAACTTGGACAACAAAGGAGCATTTTTCTTTTGTTGTTCGTACTTGGAGCTTTATGTTCATTATTGTACATAGACCTAGCAAGTAATAGGTTTTCACCCCTTTTCTATTCCTCGGGTTTGCATTAGTGGCAAATTATCCATCTTGATTCAGGAATGGCCTTTGCTGTTTTCATGTTTGTTGTATTTCCTTTTTTTTTTCTTTCCTTTTTCTTCAATACACTAGAGAGTCGCATTATGGGTACTCTATTTCTCAATGTCATGGAGGCTGTTTTCTTGCCTTGTGGCTAAGTATATCCATAACAAGGAACAGTTCAACCATGATGAACTGCATATCATGTCGATAGTAATTTTACCCCTGTCAAAAGATATCTCCAGATAGTTATGGCTGGTGACCATCAGAAGGTATTAAGATGTTACACATTTCCAAAAGTATGTATGCCAATAATATGCCAATATAAAAAATAAATAGAAAATGCCCATTTTTACTGTGGCTAACATGCTAAAAATTGCTGGTTCTTGCTATCTGTGCGACAACCAATCCATGTAAGCAACCTTTATGACTTTGATCTCCAATAAGAAGAAGCTACAACTGCTCCTCTACGATATGTATGCATTAAGACTTTATGAATCTCAGGCTTCCTTGATATCCCCTAGGCTGTCCCTAAAGGACTTCGTTGACACTGTTTGGCCTGTCACTTAAATATTTTAGGATACTTATACAGATGAAAAACAAGGTTCCCAGTTGGTCATATAATGTACTCATATGCTCGTTGACTGCAGTTGATCAACTATGGACCATTTGCATTTAAGACTTACTAGCTGTGTTTCTTATTTTTCCTTAAAACACAGTGTGAAGATACTTTGGACAGGTCTTGAGCTTCAGGGATCCTGTAAAAGTAGCAACTTGATGTGTCTAGAAAATGGGTAGATTGCACTAAAAAGTTGGAGGACTACAATAAGGAATCCATACTTAACACTTTTGGGTCCCCCGAAAGTGACAACTCGTGAATCAAACGCATTCTAAAGATCAAAGTTAGGAACGGTGTTGTTAAAGGCTCGTCCAAGGCGCACTAAAGCTCTGAAACTAGCTGCAAAATAGGCTGAATGCTTGGCCTCACTTAAGCAGTGCTTCAGAGGTGATTTACAAGAATGGCCTTGGAAGTTGGTGGTCTTGAGCTTTTGACCCTGCTTGCCCCATGGAAAAACCTTCAACTTTAAAAGGTTCGAATTTTGACCTCAAAGGTTTGCCAATGGGGCAAGCATGGATAAAAGGTTTGCCCCTCGGGCAAGCGGGAGGACAAAAATTCAAGACCACCCTTTATGGTGTCATATTTTTGCATACAGTGCAGTCACCAAAGCGCTAAGGCGTAGGCCGCATCACGAATTGGCATTGTTGTAAAGAGGCTAAATAATATTTCACTGAATATTTCACGAGATTATACANTATATATATATATATATTACGTTGCTCACATAACATCAAAATTTGCTCCATGGCTATAGCTAGCACTGCCATGAGAGTCAAAAATAGGGATAATACCATTACTACTACTACTACAACAACTGATCCTCATTCCCAAACAAGTTGGGGCCAGCTATTTGGAATCCTCACTGGCCATATTATTTCATATAAACTCATCTAGGCGATGATACCATTACTGTATGAAAATTGTTTTTCTTGGAAAAAGTTTTCCTAGAATTTCTGATCAACCAAACATAAACCACCAAATCGCCCATAAATCCACAAATAACTCTAACCCCATAAAATTTTACAGAAATCCCAATTCAATTTCAGCTAAATTCATCACGCCCAGATGATAAAAATCTCGTCTTTTCACCAAGTAGTTCTAGAAGACGGGAATAACAAAGCAAATGAATTTATGTTCGGAAGAAAGAAAAAGAAAACAGAAAGTGAAATTACAATCGAAAATAAACCTGATATTGAATGTGAAGCGCTGCTCCGATTTTCCGACTGCTGATTCTGTTTCTTCTCAAATCTCAATGGTGCGCTCAACAAAGAGGAAGATCCGTACGAATCAGGTTTTTAGTTATGTGTGGTGTTTTTCTTTGGTTATTTGGGTGTTTAACTTAACTTATCCACCAAATACGAGTATATTTTTAGACAACTTAATATTCTTATAACTGATCATTACTTATATTTTATTTGGAGTGGGACATTTTTGCCCGAAATTAGTATTTACCAATCGACTGTAGCAGAAGTTTTTAAATTTTACTTTAAATTATATTATGATCATGTGTACTTGCTCTTAGCATATCGTTTCGTATTTACATTAATTTTAACATAAATTTGTGTAAATTTCATGTGCAAAATACTTCCAGAAAAAGATTACAAGTTTTTCTCCTACTTTAGGTTATGGTTAAAAATTACAATTTATTATACATTAGGTTAGAGTTCAATTAGAGTCAAAGAGAGATATAAAATGATTTGCTAACAACAAAGATATAACCAACGTATAGAAAGCAGAAAAATTAAGATACTCCATAAAGTAAAAGGGTATTTTTCACATTATTTTTTCTAAACTTAAAATTAGATTCACTTCGAACCCGACAGATAAGAAGTTGGATGATGCAAATAATCTTATTTTTATAGTCTTACATCTAGAAGTTGGCCATTTTGTAGGGAGTTCGAAAAAGATAATTTGATTCGAAGATTAAAATTTAAAACTAATACTTCCTCCTTCTCAATTTATATGATACTATTTTTTATTATGTTTCAAGAAATTAATTTATTTGATACTATTTTTTATTATGTTTCAAGAAAAATAATATATTTTTATGTTTAATTTAATTTTAAAATTTATTTTATTCTTAATGAGATAATTTATAGACGCATAAATATGTATGACTTATTTAAGATCATAAATTACTAATATATATTTTTTAAATTTGTATTTATAGCTTGTTTGGATGTTACACATCGTTTCATAATATATCATATTGTATTGTATTGTTTGATGAATATAATGTTTGGATAGATTGTGTCATTTGTTGTTGTTTCATGATATCACGCACTGGCAATATAAAGAATAAACTTGTAATATTATTAAAAAACTTATAATATGAGGTAAATTTATTATATAAAAAGGTAGGGTAAATGATAAAATAAATTTTTTAAATAATAATGAAGGGTGAGATGAGAGAAAAAGACAAGATAATGACGCAACTATATCAAATCGATCGTTACATAAAGTGGCACATTTTGTCGTTACGTAACGACGGATTTAACGATACAATACAATAAAATTTAAGTAACAACCAAAACAAATATCGTATTTAAAGAAACAATACGATACAACACAATAGGTAACAAGCATCCAAACAAGCTGTTAGTCAAACACCATAATATAAATTGAGATGGAGAGAGTATCCAAACTGGTAATCTGATTTAAGAAAAATGGCTAACTTTAAAGGGAAAAATACCAAAAAAGACATTATTCACCAATAACTAGCCATTTTAGTCATGCTACCAAAAATAGCCAAACGAAAGTACCAAGGATATACAACATTAAAAAAACATAGGCAAAAAAAAAAGATTTTTTTCCAGTAAGTATTGTTGCGATTCGTCGAAAATACATAGATGGAACAATATACAAAATTTGAGGAAGTTTTGTCACGACAAACTTTCCCTCCGTTTAGGTATCGTGATGGCACCCAGTCTTAGGGACTAGGTAAGCCTAATTCATACTTAAATACCACAATAAGAAATGAAATTTAATAGTCTTGAAGCAGAAATCTCTACAAAATTTATAATTCCCAAAATCCGGTAGTACAAGTCATAAGCTCTACAGAGTTAGCTATCACTTCTAAATATAGCTGTTCAGAAAAGAGTGAAAACAGTTGAATACAAGTAAGAAAGTGACTCCGAAATAAGTTTACTTTGAGTCTCCTCAACAATGATCCGCCCAGCTACTAATGATCGATACATGGATCTGCATAACAAAAATGTGTAGAAGAGTAGCATGATCACACCACAGCAGTACCCAGTAAGTATCAAGACTAACCTCGGTGGACTAGTGACGAGGAATAGTCAAGACACCTATCGGTCCAATAAACTATAAAAATATAGGAACAACGGAACATGATGTATATATAAAGACTACACGAAATGGCTAACAATACTACAATCATAATAAGCGAAGAAAACAACAAGTAACAACAGAAATACCAAAATAATGACATAGAAGAGCGAGCGAAAACACAAACCCAAATCCTAAATTCACAATACAGTAAAGGTAAGCAATAACTCAGATCCTACGACAGTGTTCACATCAGGTCTTATCCAACAATTTCCACGAAGTACTAAATCTAGGACAAATTACAACTCACGGGTCTTAGTATCTGAAATCTAACTCTTGGCATCCTATGCCCCCATCACACCTCATGGTCATACTGACAACTCACTTGCTAACTAGAGCCACTCTCACATATATAACAAGTAAACAAGGGTATGCATCTATACTCAGCAAAATCACGAGGACTTCACATCCAATAGGAGTGTTCAACAACGTATATGCTTGTGCAAGTGCTTGAACATAGTTTCTACCAGCTAATAAGCATAAGGAAAAGAACATACAGCACATAAGATGTTTCCTCACAACTTCCATGAGATAAAGCTCATACAGGTAAGCGTACCACAATACAATATCAAACAACAAGAATGCCCCCAGGCCATCACAAATCATCACAAACAATCCCTGACATGGCCCACCTTGTCTCGCCACGTGTGAAAATAATAACATAATAAGTGCCCGCCTTGTTTCGCCACACGTGCATCATAATGTTCCCATATTGTCTCGCCACATGCGCAACCCACATATAATCATATATATACATACCCCGTCTTGTCACGCCACATGTGCAATATATCAATAGTAGCAATAGCACGGCAAAAACCTCGTACTACCCCATAACAACAACCGCACGACAGAAACCTCGTGCATCACAATACCAACAACCGCACGACAGAAACTTTGTGCACCACCACAACAAGTACAACAGCAATAATGACAATATATACAAGAACACGACAAGTAAATCAACTTAAGAACTTTCGATCACAAGGATACGTTAAAGCTAGCTCACAAGGAATAACCACAATAGAGAATACTAAGCGTAATAAGAACAACTCAACAAAGGAGAAAACAATATGAAGCAATGATCCCACAATATGTAATTCAACAACAATGATGCTAATACGAATAAAATAATTCCAAATAAGGAAATGTCAACTAAATATAGGATATCTAAACTTCTTTTAAGGTTGGGCAATTTACGAAGAATGTACAACAATTTCAATTAAGGATGAGCAGCGGGAAGATAATCATAACCTCAATTAAGACTAAATAATTACAGGGGAGAAAATAATGATTTCCAATAAAGACGAGCAGTTATGAAAGATAGCATGACAATAGAAGAGGTAAAATCTCCGGTTAACCAAAATAAGAGTCAAATAGGCAATAAGAATGAATCATAAGCAATTAATTCCAATTAGAGCATGTAGAGGTAAAACTAGTAAGTAGAAAACTCAAGCGCATCAAGTACACATTCATACACAATGAATATAAGGACCTAAGAACTCTAAAAGGCCAATTTTTTCACAAATAAATCTGAGCATGCACTCGTCGCCTCGCGTACACGAACTACAATCAACATAGTAGACCCAAATCCTAAGGGGAAGTCCCACACACAAGGTTAGGCAAGATACTTACCTCGAAGACGACANAACCTGACAAATTTTACAAAAACCGAATACCCATTCCGATACAAGTTCAACCATACAAAATTGATCAAATTCCGATACCATTTGATCCCTCAAATCATGATTTTTCATTTTGGGAATTTTCTTCAAAATTCAACATTTTTCCCAACCCAAAACACAAATTAAATGATGAAAATAAAGATAAAATCATGAAATATGTTAGATTCTAGATGAAGAACACTTACCCAATCGATTTGTGTGAAAAATCCTCAAAGAATTGCTCAAAACCGAGCTCCATAAGTCAAGATATAAATAAAATGGTCTAACCCTCGATTTGGGAATATATTCTGCCTACCCAGGGGTTGCTCTTCGCGTTCGCGATGAGTAAATTCCTCGTCGGCGATTTTCAAACTCATTCCATACAACCTTTAGTATAATGGCCATAATTTTTTGCACATAACCTCAAATGACAAATGGTTTGATGTTCGAAAAACTAGACCCCAAGGGCTATAGTTTCATAGGTTGATCATTTCGTGAATTATTATATATTGTGAGATATAAGCTTCCAAAGTCAACCCTATGCAGCAGAGATTTTCGAACTCTCTCCGCACAGCCTGTAGTGTAACCACCATAACTTTTTGTACACAAATCTAAATGCCAATTAATTTAAATTTCTGAAAACTAGACACAAAGGCTACAACTTTTATTTTTGGATCATCTCCAAATTCCTTATAGATTGTGAGATATGAGCCTCCGAAGTCAGACCTGTGCAACTGAGATTTCCTTCTTCGCGAACGCGAGAGTCTCTTCGCGAATGCGAGAGTCTCTTCGCGAACGCGAATAACAAAGTTCCAGAAGCCAAATTCTTCTTCGCGAACGCGAGAGGCTCCTCGCGAATGCGAAGAACAACACCAGGTATCAGATAATCAGCATCCAAAGTAGCCCAAAATGATCCGAGACACACCCGAAACACACTCGAGTCCCCCGGGACCCCGTCTAACCACACACACAAATCATATAACCTAACACGGACTCGCTCGAGGTCTCTAATCATATCAAACATCGTTGAAACGACGAATCACACCATGAATCGAATTATGAACTTCCAAATCTTCCAACTTCAAAACCTTGTGCCGAAACCTATCAAATAAACCCGAAATGACGCCAAATTTTGCAGACAAGTCCAAAATGACATAACGGAGGTTCTCCAACTCTCGGAATTACATTCTCACCCCGAAATCACAAAAGTCAACTATGGGTCAAACTTATCCACTTTCCAAACTTCAACTTTTCCAACTTTCACTAAAAATGCCTCAAATTACCCTACGGACCTCCAAATCCGAATCCGGACGCATGCCTAAGTCCAAAATCACCATACGAAGCTG